GTCTGTTGTGTATTTTCGTGAGATATTTCCAAGCGTATTTGCACACACACACACATACACACCCGTTTCGTACGATTCTTGTGGTTACTTTCCGCTATGTATAAATGTATTCCGCTATGTATCGCGGCATGACTTTTTCTGTCGGCGATAATTACACAGCAATTAACATTTCATTATGATCGCTCCGCGGCATTGCAAGCGAGCCGAGAGAAAAATAATACACGTGATTCGAGTGGCATTGAACAAACGAACGAACGGACGAACGAATGAACGAACGATCGAGCGAGCGAGCGAGCAAACGGGAAAACGGAACCGCGCCTATACGTCGATTAGCGTTCCGAAAAGCACTCGTGCGATCCGGCACTACGTGGGACGAGTCCCAAGGTAACGTGGGGGCGATTCGTGCGCGCATTGAAATTCCCGCCGATCTCAGTGAGCCGAGTGATCGATTTTTATCGAGTATACGACTGCTTAGCGGACAAAACTCATAAACCGCATTCGATATCGGCGAACGCTCAAACGCGCGCCGAATAAAGAACACGCGATTCAGGACGGAATCGCGTTCCCGCGGCGACGAGATTTTCATCGACGAAGGATAGAGAGAAAAACTCGCTCGCGACTTCGCGAGACGAGAGATTAGAGTAGACGGGAGCGAAACAGACGGATGTCTCGCGCAATAATATTCAATGGCACAGCCGGATAAACTAGGCTACACCTACTGGGACGTAAATCCCGTCGAGACCGCGATACCGCGAAGACCGATAACGCACGGCTGCCGTGCGCGCGACACCTAAATTCATTCGTGACCGGAGCGCAGCGCGTCACACTTCGTTCCGCGAATAACACGGAGAGCCGACAATTCATCATCTATATTCCAAGACCGAACGACGACGCGACGGCATTGCGAATGCATCTCGCGAAATCAAATTTCCGAGTGGTATTCTCGCTCGCGTTCCCGTCCTCCTGCCCTCCCCCCCTCCCCCATGCGCCCCCTTCCTCGTTTAAAGGGTTTCCGCGGGGGTCAACGTTCTGCGATCTCCCGATCGATTTGCCCAAGTATCGCTAAACCTGGACGAAGACGTCCAATTTCTACGGTACGTCCGTACGTGACCGAGGAAACAATACGCTCGATCGAATTCGCGAATGCTCGAGCATGCGCGAGCGTTCATTTCACACGCTACCGAGGAGCGGGCGCCGATGTATTTTTATACACGCGCACGCTCGTAACGCGCGCGGCTCTTTTATTCTACGAGGAGGCCGACGGCCGTCGGAGCGCATCGTCGAGCTTTTTATCCGTAACGCTCCATATCGGAACGATTATCGGCTCGGTACGTTGAAACGATCGATCACTTTGAGAGCCACGTGAAGCGTCGTCATTCAAAGTCCGACGGCGACGGTCCGACCACGCGCGTCGTCCTTTTGAAGCTTATTGTAGCGTGTGCTCGTGACGAATACATTGCCCCGGCGAAAGCAACATGCCGCTCGCGCCTCTCCCCGTTTCCTTTTTTTCACCGTTTCGTGAATATCCGTGCGATTCGAACGCACGGGCAAGCGAGGAGGGCCCCGAACGGGGAGGGGGGGCGGGTCCGGCAACGAAGGCGTGAGCGCGTTTTACGGGCTATTGAACGACGTTACGTCGTTTCGTCGACGCGATAAACCGCACTCGATGAACTCGATGGCCGAAATCCGTGGATTTCAATCGACCGCCGCACGCCGTGCTTTCGCACTTTCGACGTGAAACGGTAAACGAGCGGATTATTCACAGTTCGTTAGGATGAGAGCAGATATGAAGGAGGCGCGAGTCATCGCACCTGGCACGTGTGTCGTACGGATAATCGAACGTTGACGCTGAAAACGAAAGAAGTCGGCGCGACGCTCGGCGAGGACGCTCGTCTCTGAAGCGAGCCTGCAAAGTCCCGCGCAGGAGCAACGGAGCTGCGGCTCTAACAGTACCGGGACATAAGGAAAACGGCGAATGTCGTACCAAGAAGTTGTGCGACATCGCAGCGCCGGCTAGATTGATCGTGAAATAATAATGTAGCGGGTTAAGGATATCTCGGCGCGTCTGCGCCAGGGCACGGCTCAACTTGGGAATGCTTCCTCGGTTATTGCCCTTCCTAGATCGCATGTCTACCGCCGTTTCTTATTTACACTCCATTACCACGTTCATTTTCGTCCTCGTGTGTAACGAGCGAGCGAGCGCGCGCGCGCCGTCGCCGCCGCCGCATAGATAAAGTTAGGCTCGCTAATTAACGTACAATAATGAACAGCGCTGCTTTCAGCCAGCTACTTCATAAATCCGCGACTAATTCGTAGTCCGTCTAGCCTCGGGCGAGATTCGGCCGAGCGCCGAGTTCTTTCCGCGCTGCGTTTTCAGCGTCGATTAACTCCAGCGACTAAATGATTCGATTTGAAATTTCGCTCGAGAGCCATTCCTTCGAGATGAAAGTGGCTCTTTATTCGCGAAAATGTCTCGTTTGAACAATAACAAGGGTAGCCGCTCTTACCCTTTCAAGGGCTGTAAGGTGTTTATGCTAATGCGAACCTAACGAGGGTTGCGCTCCCGATATATATATACTCTCTCTCTCTCTCTCTCTCTCTCTCTCTCTCTTTTTTCCCATGGCCTTCCCCTCGCGCACCAATATTATTACGCGCGTTACAAGTATTCATTTCTACATGACGGGAGTAAATCGATACTCCCCATCGGAAGCTGTAATATGAGGCATGTAGACACGCGGTACACGCAGCCGGGAAACGAGATAAGCGAGAAGGTAAAACCGTGTGAGAAAAGAACGTTTCCTCGGTTTTTCAGTTTCGCGATGTAGCGACTTGCTCCTAATGAGTGTCGCGAATTAATATGCAATGTCGCACTCGGTTGCTAGAATCGCGCGATGTTACTACTACGGGCGATATGCGTAGTTAACTGTTCATTGGAAACTGTTCACATTGGCGTTTCCGCTGAAAGGCGATTTAATATATCACGCCTGTTGATCGCTGCGCGATAGGCGAGCTATCGGACGCACGTCGACCGTGACGGATTCACGTCCGCTCCTTTTTTTGCAAGGAGCAAGATTGCCTCGCAGAGACGAGATCGCGGCGCACCGCCGGGAAAATAGCAAGCATTGAGCGCGCAACAGCGGTTGCACGTGTTCGGATGAGACGCCGCGTCATGCAGAATTTCAAGTCGTCGTCGTCGTCGTCGTCGTCGTCGTCGTCGTCGCCGCCGCCGCCGCCGCCGACGCCGCCGTTGCCGCCATCACCGCCACCGTCGCCGTCATCGTCGCCATCGTTTCCATGGGATTGAGGTGAGAAGGAAATTCGATCCACCGCAGGAATTTCCCGTTTATTCACGCGCGTCTCTCTTCATCGTCATCGGAGAAGAAGAGCGCGGCAATACGGCGCGACGGATAACACAAAGGGGACCCTCGTGTGTGCTCCATAGATTCCTCCCGTTTACATTTTTCTTCTCCTTTCGTTAGCGCGCGCGCGTGTCGCTCTCTCGCAAGCAGCTACGTCCGCGAGGTACATTATTCCGATCCTTCGGAATTTCTGTGACTCATTATGTAGAACCGCGAGTGTGTAGTGCCCTGTTTTAAATTCTCCCCGAATAGCCGTCTTAAAAAAAAAGACAAGACAAAGAGGGAGAATCGATATGTCCACGGCTATTGATTCCGCGTGAAGAAGCGAGGATCTTACCCGTGTCGCCCCCCTCCCCTCCTCCATCTCTCTCTCTCTCTCTCTCTCTCTCTCTCTCTCATTCCCGGAGATTTTTCAAGAGGATCTTACGCCGCGTAATCCCGGTCGATTTGGCGAAGGGGGAAATTTCTGCGTCATTCGATGTATTATTTCGATATTCTTTTACGTGGACTCTCGACGTGCAATTTCGGCCTCGTGCGAACGCGCGATCATTGCTTCCGATCTCCCGAATATGTGTGTGTATGTGTCGCGGATGTTCGAGATCCTGTATATCCTCCGGATTGAAACGGAGACCTCCTTGGTATTCACGCATCGCTGGTGTTCGACTCGGTATTCAGACACTGTCTCTTAATTGTACGAGGTGTTCGCGCACGTCCGTCTATCCTTCGCGGCTGCAAGTCGACACGCATACCTATTGTACGCCGCCTTGAATTATTTAGGCACACCGGCGCGGCGACCGGCCCTCTTTGACTCGACTCGCGGGATACGGTTCCGGTCCATCTTCGCGCGGATCGTGACAGAGAAGAGACAGTCGTCCTGGATTTTTTTCCTTCGCTCGTGGGGGGAGACTGAAACTCGCGCAACGAGACGGTTCGTCATATTCGCGAGTACTACCTCGCGACGTAGGAAGTATTCGGTGAAAGACTTGTCGCAATCATGGCTTTTGCCAAAATTTCGCAGCAACACGACATACACGACAAGTATGTTGGACTTAAATGAAAGATAATTCTAGAATGTGTTAAATATGCGCGCGCCAAGTCGAGGACATGTGCATCTTTCTCCCTGCTTCGCGTGAAAAGGTCTACGCGTCCTCCGCGATAAACGGGAATCGCACGTGATTAAACGAATCTTATCACCAGCAGCACAGACCTCGCTCTGTGCGGAGACGTCACTCTTAACCCTCTCGGGACGACGAACGGGATGTTAGAGAATCTCTGCGCGAGTCCCTAAGAATCTCCCCCTTCACATATCTCCGGGTCACTTTGGGATCGAGACGTTCTCTTGGCGGAGCACATAATCACAGTTCATAAAATCCATGATCACGACGGCGACGGGAGCGGCAGCGGCGGCGACGGCGACGGCGGCGGCGACGACGACGATGACGACGACGACGACGACGACTAGGTTGTCGCGAGACGTCACAGCCGCGTGCAACCAAATCACTGATCTTGATCACTTGGTGTCACCGAAGGAGACGCGCGCCCGGAGGTGCACGGCGTGCACCTGCTACGTCACTTGTCCACCCTGGGCGGCCGACCGAGGGTGGACCGGCACACTAAGTACTCCTCACGATCCTCACTTACCTATCCAGCACGGTCGTCGATGACGGACGACCCTGATGACTCGACGCGACGACGTGGTCCCCTCTCGATGCACGATCGGCGATTTATTAATTCGCACCGTGTCAGACGCGAGCCGGTGTACGTGCCTGTTCGCGTGCCGTCGCGGAGCCGCGATGGGATGGTTGATCGTCCTTCGGAAGGGACACCTGCAGCACCTCGTCGTCGAGGTGCGACTCTCACCCGAGTTCGGAGTAGAGCTCTTCTCCCGCACCCTCTGACGAGCGTGTGCGAGCGCAGAGCTTACTCTCTCTCTCTCTCTCGCTCTCTTTCCTCTTTTTCTCCCTCTCTCTCTCTCTCTCTCTCTCGTTCTCTTTAGCTGGCCCCTCAAAATCACCGCAACACCACACCGAACAGAAGTGAACTACTCGTGCGCCGCCGGTTCACGGTACCTTAAATACCTTGGCAGCCGCGCCGCCGCCGCCGCCGCCGCCGCCACCGCCGCCGCCGCCGCCGTCGCCGCTGCCGCCGCCGCCGCCGCCGCCGCCGCCGCCACCGCCACCACCGCCGCCGCCGCCGCCGCCGCCGCTGCCGCCGCCGCCGCCGCCGTCGCCGCCGCCGCCACCGTCGCCACCGCCGCCGCCGCAGCGCACCACCGCCACCACCGCCGTGCGCGTCGTGCGACTCCCTACCTTAAACTCGCCCCACGCCGCGCGAGCGGATTGGCGGGGGAGCGCGAGGCGATGTGTACCCGCAGGCTACACCGGAGCATCCTCTCTTTTTCTTCCATTCTCGCTCCCTCTCACCGCCTCTCGCGCGCTTCCTCTCCTACTCTATTTCGTTTCCTTTCTCTCTCTTTCACTCTCTCGTCACTTCTTTCTCTCGCTTCGTCTCTCCCGCCCCTCTCTGCAGCCCCGTGTGGACGCTTCTCATCTTTCTCTTTTTCGTCCCCTCTCTTCCCCTTTTTCTCGGCGTTCGACCACCAACGGCACGGTCCGCAGGACCAACGCGTGTACACCGTCGTGGGTATCGGTGCGAGATGGAAGGATATCCCTTTTGTCCGACGTTTCTCGTCCGTCCGTCCGTTTCGCGGCTCAACTCGCGCGGCTCGACTCGCGGATTGTCCTGGACGTCTGTGTCGTCGGCGTAGCCCATCCGACCGTGATAACCGGCCGACGAGCACGACGACAGACGGACGAGCAGGACGAGGAGGAAACACGTCGGTCGCCGCACCGCAGGAGCAACGATGCGCAAGCGCGTGCGCGCATAAAAGCAGGAGCCGCGACGCGACGCGACGCGCCGCGCTCGCCGTCGCGCATTCGCGCTTTGCGCGTCGCGCCGAACGGGTCTTCCGTCCGACACTCGATCGGTGACACTTTACACTCTCGTCGGCCATGCTCCGCGTTGAGAACATCGATAATGCGGCGACGGCGGAATTTTGGAATATTTCCCGGTAGAATATTCCGTGGCGAATCTCCGTGTCTGAAAAGGAGAATAATGATGCGACGAATTTTCGCGGTTATATTTCGCGTTATATTCCTCCGCCTCCGAACGCACTCGACTGTGTTGCCGTGAAGCTCGCTGAAATTATATTAGGATTTCTCCGACGAATCCGACACGAGAACGTTGGTCGATGCCGTTGGAGATCCAAACCGCTGACTCACTATCGATCTTTTACGTCGATGAACACGCGCGACGGTAAATCCGCGGCGGGCCGAAAAACCCGGCTATGTTTTGATCGTTCCGAGAAGGTCGTTACTGCGAAAATCCTGCCTCGTCGAATCTGTACCTCCATTCATTCGCGTCAAGGGACGAGGTAGTCCTTTTTTTCAGCGATCGTCATAAAGGATATCTCATATGTCGCAGCGTAGTAACGTTATTCCCACCTCGGTTCGTTCCCCCGGCTCTTTCCGCGTGGTTATTAATCGACCGCGTGAAGGTCGGGAGATTCTACAGAATCGAACTCACGTTCCGCGAAAGGTTCGTTTTAAAGATGATCTCATCGAGATCGATTAGAGGGGACGCGCGTATACTACAAAACGTTTCAAAACATACACACATACGCGCGCGCACGCATATGCGCGACCGTCGAATTGTGGAACGATGGTCCATTTGTTAAGTGGATTAAGACTGACGTATTTTGATGTCATGAGTTATTTTAACAGCCTACCGTCACTTCCTCTTCTCCATGACCGAAGAGGAAAAAAAGAAAATCCTCAGAGGCCATTCTCCCATCTTTGATTGTACAGAGAGAGAGATAGAGAGATAGAGAGAGAGAGAGAGAGAGAGGGAGAGAGAGAGACGTTCGATTCTCTCTCGTGCAAAATTCGTCCGATCGTCCACGTCCTCCGTCGCTCCTCCTCGAAAAACGCACAAAAATCCGCCGGACGACCGGATCGTTAATTGTCAGCGTTTGCCGATAAACCTTCGCGACGTCCAGGAAGTTAACCGACACCACGCGCCCTCCCTTCCACTTGGTACCTCCTGCCCGTCGGCCGTACGTACATTCGTACTATGCATCGTCCATATTTACGACGGAGAGAAGTTCATCGAGTAGAAGAGAGCAGCCGTAAAGCACGGCCGGCCGGGCCCTTGCGAGATGCCCGAGGGATATCCGAGACGATGTATCCACCTCGGCTCACCTTGGTTCACCTTGCCTCATCGGGCCTCGGGGTAGGGGAATTCGGTTCAGCGAACCGCGCCGACGACGACGACGACGACGACGACGACGACGACGACGACGACGACGACGACGATGACGGCGACGTCGACGACGACGGCGACGACATAACTGGTACCCGCTAACTGTCGGTCTTTCTCTCACGGATCGGTGCCATTGACACTGACATAATAACTCGCCGGGCCATGTTCGACGGCAAGAGTCACGACGTACGAATGAAATTGCCGCGATGGTGTAATGCCTCTTGCATAAGTGCCGAGAAAGCGAGGATCGAGTGGTCTACGTGTGTATTTGTGTGTGTACCACGGAAGGGAGAGAGAGAGAGAGAGAGAGAGAGAGAGAGAGAGAGAGAGAGAGAGAAAGAGAAAGAGAAAGTAGAAGAGAGTGAGGAAGAGAAGACGAGCGCAGGGCAGGGTGACGAGAGGGGAGAAAGTGAAATGAGAAAGAGAGAAAGACAGTGTCGAGCAGACAGTGAACTTGACCTGAATCCCGGTCAGGGAGAAAGAATGATCGTGGGCTCCCGTAGAAAGGAGAAAGGAGGCGGAGAAAGAGCGAGACCGAGGAAATTACTTTCGATTTCGAACTCTCGGGATCGGTTACACTTTCTCCCTCGTCCACTGCGCGGCGAGATCGTTTCTTCCCCGGTCTTCCCGACATACGCCTTCGCGACATGTCAGACGGTCATCGCGCTGCTCCTGTGCCAAGGTCGAGCTCCGCGGTCGAGACCTTGGTGGGGAATCGCGATTGAACGGCTGGAGCGAGAAGGCTCGCAAGTTCGACCGCACTGTCGACGTCGGATTTTCCGGGCGGCGATGCCGCGGTTCGTGGCTTGCGCCGGTATTTCTCAAAATTTCGATAATGTAACGCCGGCTGTCATTCGCAGGAAACACTCGCCGATAGTCCGTTCGATTGCAGGTATATATTGCGGTTGCCGCACGCACGTTTCACGTGAATTTCCCGTCGGCGAAGCCGTTGCTGTACCTGAGTGTGCTTTACTCTCAAATAGCGGGACAAATTTGACGCGGGTGTTGCAAGGCTCCGTAATCCGACAGAGCCGTCGGAATTACAACGGGACGAGCCGCTGACTCACGCGGAAATCACCTAATTAGATCGAAAAGAACGTCGCCGTTCCCTCTCGTCGTTGCCCTCCGCTCGCGTCCCGATCCTACGCGTAGGCCACTCTTACCATCAGCTCTTACCATCAGGAGAGCCCGAGCTCAACGCAGCGTAACGGTACACGAAGCGATCGGAGCAACGCGCATCTAACGTTTGCGTACAGACCCGTCTTAAAGAGTCCCTGCTGTCCCTTTACATCGCAGCCAGGTGTACAAATTGTACCTCGTGATATTAAACGCTAGACTCAATCTTAAGACACTCGATGCAACGATAAGCTCTCAAGCAAGACATCAAGCTCCCTTCGACGACCTCACCAAAGAAGGGATTAACTTCTCGTTACTTGTCGAGATGAGACATTGCGATATCAATCGATGCGATCGATCGCAAGGAGGACCGAGAGGATCAGCTGTAACCTGCGAATCGAGTGCTATATCGTGCTGCCTCTCTGTATTCCTCTGTGAGAAAAGCAACCACTCCACGACAGACCGAGAAAGAGAGAGAGAGAGAGAGAGAGAGAGAGAGAGAGAGAGAGAGAGAAAGAGAGAGAGGACGCGTCTCGACGCCGGAGCGCGACCGCGCGAGTCGACGAACGGCCTTGCGACATTTGTCGTGCAGCGAACTTCGCCGGACGTTACGTTACATATCGACGCCTGAGATTCTTTCTGAGAGATGCCGTATCGTGATGGGACGTCCGCGGGATTACAGAGCGACTCTCTCGCGAACTGATAGGTCAGATATTACGATCGCCAAGTCTCACCCGCGACAGTCTAGAACACTCGACCGGTCTCGCACTGTTCTCTCTCTTCCTCTCTCTCTCTCTCTCTCTCTCTCTCTCTCTCTCTCTCTCTCTCTCTCTCTCTCTCTCTCTCTCTCTCTTCCTTTCCTGCAGCATCTCGTGCTGGCCCGGTTCTGAAGGGACCGCGGCGCGTTCTTCCTAGCGTGGCGAGTGGCATCGGTTGTTGTTGTCAACGCGGCAAATCTGCCTTGCTATCTGCGATTTAACTGCGATGCTCGCCTCGTAAATAAACGCGTCGCCGGTCGACCGAGCGGCCGCGGCCGACATCGTCGCTCCGGCAAATGGAGATATTATGCGGACCTCCCGGCCTGCCGCCCCGGCTCGGATACTGGAGCGCGAAAAATCGGCTCCGCAGCACACGGAGCGGAGGAGCGAAGGCGAAGGAAAAGCAGCCGACGATCGCGGGCGGGGTTTTCCGTTAAAGCCGCCGTCGAGTCGCGTGGTAAAGCCGACGAAATATTTGCGCGGGCATACTTCCACGGGAGCGTACCTGGAGCAGGCGGAAGCGTCGTGGAGAGTGCACACGTGCGCGCACGATGGGGGTGCCGGCGTTCCTCGCGAGTAAGTATCCCCCGATAGACCGTAAACAGCGGAATTTACGTACGCGCGCATCTCGAAATTCTTTTGCGCGCGCCCCGCGCGCCTTGTTACTTATGCGCTCGAACGGGATCCCAAGGTGGACGGTGAATCCCCGGCAACGTTCCGCGGCTCCTGCTGCGCTGCCCTGCGCCGTACGAAACGTCTAATAAGTGACGAAAGAATCAGCGGGGTTCATCATGAGAGCGTCGATCGAGAATGTCGACGAACGATATGAGCCGTGATTGCGACCGAGAAAGAGAGACGAGAGAGAGAGAGAGAGAG